ATATGACAGACGCATAGAATAGCCTTCCAGGTGAAGTGATAGAGGTTAACACAGTGAGGGAGTTTAAGTATGCGTGGGATAGGCATAAGGCTATCCTAGACTTAAGATAAGGCCAGGGACTAATTAAAAGTATTTTTAAATATTGGGCAGACTAGATGGGCCAAATGGTTCTTATCTGCCGTCACATTCTATGTTTCTATGTTTCTAAGTTACTAATGTCAAATAGATAATTAGGTGTGCAAAAAGTATTAAAAACACAGTGTAAAAATTTGAACAGTGATACTAAAAACTTCAAATTGGTAAAACTAACCAAGTAGTAAAAAAGTCTAAAACGGCTGGACTCCGGCGCACATGGCTGCTTAACTGCACAGCTCCACTCCACAACAGCACTATTAACAGCGTACCACACTGCAAATCTGCGCAAATGGGACCCACTAAATGGGCTGAACACCCACAAACCCCCAGGAACACCTTACCCGGGTCACAGTCTGGATCGGGTCATGATGGAAGAATACCTCCACACACCCGCCGGGCCTACTCACGGGACCACGACCTCCAAAATGGCGCCTTCTTCGCCAGTCTCCTCCTGTGCTTCTTAGGACCACACCACACTAGCGGACATCGGCGCGGAATGACCTGCAACACCTTTCCGCCATGCTGCATGAAGCAATTAAGATGGAGGTGGCAGGCCTGAAAGCGGATGTCACAACTCACGAGGCCCGCATCCACTCCTTGGAGCAAAAACTACAAACGGCCGAAGACCACGCTGCAGCCACTGACACAGCCTTGAAAATACAGGGAGCCCTGATCGTACTGATGAGAAGGCAATTGGAAGATCAAGATAATCGTGGGCGCCGAAACAACATCAGGGTAAGAGGTGTGCCTGAATCCCCAGAAGGGGAAAACGTGGAAGAGATACTCACCTCCCTGTTCCGCATCATACTCAGAGAGGACGAGCCAGCACCCTGTAAATATGACAGGGCGCACAGGGCACTTCAACCTCGGCTCACAGAGGGGATCTCTAGAGACATAGTTTGCTGTCTCCATTCGTTCCCCCTAAAATAATTAATTATGGCAAAAGCAAGATCCAAAACCCACTGGAACTACAGGGGCGCAGAAGTCTCCCTATTCAATGATCTTTCGCCGATGACCTTAGAAGCCAGACGGGCCCTGAGACCAATTACCACCCTACTACGTGAAAGGAACATACCCTATAAATGCATCCAAGTGTGGCACAACAACGAGTGGGTCTCAGCCAGATGGCCTGAAGAGATAACCCTATTCTTGCAACGTCTAGACCTACCACCGACACCCATACCAAACTGGGTACTGCTGCCAATAGAGTCAAGACAGCTACCGCAGAGACAAGCCAGGAAGAGAAGATGGAACTCACCGGGCAGCCCACCCCACGGCTCCCGTGCCAATCCAGCAAACCCAGAAGAATAACTACCCCATCGATAGATGACTTCAGACCGCTCCTGTGGGCCCCACGCTCTCAAGCCACCACCAACTGCTGATACCCGGATCCAAGGAACGAGCAGACTACACAACATTCTATTGGGAAAAAAGTTACTCTGACAATGGGACTGGGGGCATTAGCATAGGTTTGGGTGGGGGGTCCCCCACAGAGCGGACAGCTACAAGGGCTCACTCCAGGACAGACCGAACCAAAGGACATCTCCTGAGCAGGGGGGGTCATTCACCCTGCCTCCGTCCCCCGAACAAAAAAAAAATAGACCATTTGTTTATAGTATGTTACAATCATATAGCCCCAGACCCTCCACTCTGGTGAAAATGAAGGGTAGCATAGTGGGGATGACTGTTGGGGAGGGGGAACTGCGGGGAGGCAAGCCGAGACATGGCATGGGAGGACGCAAGACTATCTGTCACATCATGCCATGTTCTGCGGAGATGTCTGGCTTTGGTTTCTGGTATCCAGTACTCTTTTTACAATTCTTGTTTAGTTTTTCTTGGTTTTCTGGTTTTCTATTCTATGTCTGGTTTTCTATATGATGGGTTTCTGGGTTCATTCTTATATTCCGTCCCTGGATTTCCCAGTCTCTTGGATTCATTTAAATGTTTGTTTTATGTTGCCACCCCCCTTTTTTTTCCATTTTCCTTTTGTTTCAGTCTGGACCGGCAGCAGTGTTTCAAGTCTCTGCCCTTTCTTGCAGGTAAGTGCTATAGTGGTTTAGTATGGTTCTTTTAGTGAACAATAGGCAGTGTAGGACCTGCCGAATATGGGGTACATTGGCGATGTGGCAGGCTTATGCAATGTATGATCATATAATGTAACTAAATACTTTTCATATATAGTACTTAGTTATTTCTCCTCTTGTTTTGCCTATCATATCTTGTCTTGTTTTAGTTTGTATTCGCAGTCCATGTACAGTCCTGTCCTGTCCTGCCCTTGTTTAGTTAATGTTCCCTTATGTATTGTGTACATGTTCTGGGTTTAGCTTCCTATCCTTCTCTAGTTCTGTCTTGTTTTCATGTCTGGTGACTATCCTAGCCTTGCCTTGTTTCTGTACTGGATACATGTCTGCTGCAGAGCCCCCCTATCCAGTTCCTGGGAGGTCTGCATATCAAGCTCCTAGTTCCTGGGATCCGCTGTAGCTGCATCAGGGTTCTGGTATGTGGCCGCGCAAACGCTGGTGCTCAACACCAGGGGGCGTGTGGTTACCCTGCACCAGGCCCTGATAATCCACTTCCATGCTGAAGACTCCACTTCTCATCAGGCACTTAGGGGTCCCGGTTTCCGTACCGCCACCCATGACAGATGTCTGGGTCCCGGGCACTGGACCGCCACCGTGATACTATCAATGGGAACAAGCTCTGCTGAAACCCCCACCGACCACAGCCAGCACAGGGCATGAAACCCTCACCAGAAAACGCGGACCTGCAAGAAACCCTGGGACTTGTAGACCGGACAGCTAAATAAGGGAGATACTACAACTATCCGGCTAAAGGGAGGGCACAGCTACACCACACCCCCTACCACATCACAATTCAGCCATCCCCATACACATATCAGGGGAAGGCCTTGGACACACTAAGGTCCGAACTGACATGACCCGGCACTGGCCCCCCCCTCCGACACCACACTAGCACACACAAAAAAACACAGTGAACCAGGCACCGACCTTCATCCACGATGAACATGATAAAGAGCAAGGATTAGCAGCTAGAGGTTTAGGCATGACAAAACCTGAGAACAGGGAGGCAGGCGACATAGGGAAATGTGGGGGAGGGTCCGGGAGGGGACAGATGAGGAGAGGGTGGGGGAGGGGGACAAAAGGGACCCACACGCACCAAGCAACTACCCCACGGGGGGAGGGACAGGGGGGACAAAAGGCACCTACACGCACCTACACGCACCTACAGGGGGAATGGTTGTGAGGGGGGGGAAACCGACCCTCAGCTCAAGACACCAAACGAGATGCTCCTACGTAGATTAGGAAAAAACCAAGGGGAATGAAAGCCGCAGTTAGACATGGGCGGATGAGACAGACAAGAAATCATGCCCTAGGGCAGATGACAAAACACAGAGACAATCACTAGCCTCAGTGATAGGTACGCCCTAGCTATACCACAGTGGAAGGACAGGACGACCCATTCCAGAAACACCCAACCAACTCAAACCTAATAACACATAGACACACCCGCCCTGATCGACTGACGCCCAGCCACGCTTACCACCACTTTCGGTGTGCACACTCGACACTGCGGAGTACGGACGGGGAATCCCAGGGCTCTGCCACTGGGAAACCGCCAGCTACTACCGTAGGCATATGAACTCCCTCTCCAGGAGAGAGCCACCCCAACCCTGAGTAGTGACACACACCCGATACACCTAGACACAAAACAACCACACAAACATCCATCACACCCCCCCATGGAGCACAACAAGACCATTACACACCGGACAGAGACTAAACGGTAAATGGGACCGGTGAAACACCCTCGACCACAGAGAAGCTCACAACCAACTTGCGCACACACACACCAGTCCACACGAACAACCCCCACCCGACCACCCTCTCCTCTACCCCCTTCCCCCTCTTCCAGACCCCGCGGCCACCCCCCCTTCCCTCTAGAAGGCCGTACCAACCTGGAACACCACACCAAACAAACACAGAGACAACAACTCCAGTCAAGACCCGGGACCTCTGGGGACGCTTCCCAACTACGGGGAGAAGAGGGGCAAAGCTAGGAGACCCAGACAATTGAAAAGACGCCCCACCGAAGGATAGACCCCAACAAGATGGCATACTGCCCAGACCCGATAAGAATCACCATGTAAAACTGCTGGGGACTGAACCTGCCTGAACGCCGAACCCAGCTCCTTAGGGAGCTTCGGAGAGAGAGAATAGCCATAGCCCTGTTACAAGAAAGGGCTCGGCCCCGACTCTTAGAAACAAACACTACCCCATCAGCTACTGCAGCAATCACCCCACAGCTAAGAAGGCAGGGGTCGCAATTCTGATAGCAGCCAAACTACAATTCAATTCAAGGAACAGGAAACACTCATAGATGAGAACAGCAGATACGCATTTGTCAAAGGAGAGATCTCAAACCGAAGATACACACTAGCCACGATCTACATCCCTAATAACAACCAATCCCGGTTCCTTAAATGCACACTACAGAAACTAACAGACTTCACGGAAGGAACACTGATAACGTGGGGAGATTTCAATGTACCGCTGGACCCGAAAATGGACTGCTCCACGGGACACAGCAGTATCCCACAAAGAGAAATAAAGAACATCCACCAAACTCTAAAGACCCTATGACTGAATGACTGTTGGAGGACAATGCATCCATCGGACAAAGCATACACCCACTATTCGACAATACAGAAGGAATACTCTGGAATAGATTTCCTGTTTGTACAACAAGAGACTCTGGCAAGACTTCAGAAAGCTACCATTCACACAGCGACATGGTTGCAACACGGCCAAGTATTAATAGAAGTCGACTCCTCCTTCACAAGACCAATGAAGAGGACCTGGAGACTCAATGACACCCTTCTGACCGAGGTGTCGCTGAGGGACCAAATCACCCAAACATTAACAAATGACTTCACTGAAAATGAGATGGATGATGTCTCGGACATGACAGTGTGGGAAGCACACAAAAGCGTAATTCGAGGCAAACTCATACAGCTAGCGTCGCAACGTAAAAAGGAGGCAGGCAGACTCATGTCCGAGCTCATTGACCAGATCAACACGCCAGAAACACAACATAAACGAAGCCAAGTGGAAGACACGTACAAAGAACTCCTAGAGGCCAGAAGGCAGCTACACACCCTACTGCTTCAGAGACACCTGAGACAACTACGCAGATCCAAAGGATTCTTCTATCTCCACGCAAACAAGGGAGGGAAATTACTCGCACATATGCTCAAAGGACAACAACAACCCGCACAAGTACACAAACTAAAACTGCAAGGAGTCACGACTACCCAACACCTGGAGAGAATCGCAAATGAATTTCTCAATTATTACTCATCTTTATACGATACACACAAACAAGGCGATGAACACGAACGCACCAAACGGGACCGCATAGAACACTTCATATGAGAACACCTCTCCACAACAGTGGCAACAGCAGCAGACGCAGAAATGTTCGACCTACCGATCACCGAAGATGAATTACGAGCAGCCATTAAAACAACAAAAATAGGCCGTGCCCCAGGACCAGACGGGTTGACCCTAGACTATTACAAATGGCTCCAGGACATTCTGGTCCCCAGGCTCGCAAAAGCCTTGAACGCAATTACTGACGGAAATGAGTTCCACACTGAATCATTATCGGCTACGATAACTGTACTCCCAAAGCCAGGAAAAGACCCAGAGACTTGCAGCAGCTACAGAGCAATCTCCCTATTAAATGTAGACACAAAACTTTTCACTAAGATCCTAGCTACTAGAATTGGCACGCTGATGCCAACACTGGTACACCCTGACCAAACAGGATTCATACCAGAAAGAGAGGCCCGAGACAGCACCCTAAGGGTCCTCGCCTAAGGGACAACACCTAGCGAGACGAAGCAAATCGCTACTCCTCCTGCTCTCTACAGACACTGAAAAGGTGTTCGATCGAGTGGATTGAATGTTCTTGAAAACAGTACTACGCCTGCTGGGATTCAACAAAGCCATACTGAGCTGGATCAGAGCAATATACAACAAACCGACAGCAACAATACGAGTTAACAGAGCCCTGACAGAATCTTTTCCGATCCGAAATGGCACTAGACAAGGGTGTACCCTATCCCCACTACTGTTTGCGCTCACACTAGAACCCCTGCTAGAAGCGATGAGACAAAATAACAACATCACGGGATATACATGGAAAACCACCACACACAAGGTTGACGCATATGCGGACGATATGTTGTTCTTCATCACACAACCAAGAATAACTCTGGCCTGCCTAATGAAAGAACTCGAAGACTACGGCCGCCTGTCAGGCCTCAAACTCAACCTAAGCAAATGCGAACTCCTCAATATAAACGACCCAATGAGAGAACATAGAGCTATAGCCTCGACCTTCCCATTCCGGTGGTGTCAATCCCAAATGAAATACTTAGGGATTTGGGTAACAACGGATCCGAGCTCCCTCTACCAAACAGACTTCATCCCTTTCCTCACTCGCATTCAACACGACTGGAACTACCCACACATCTCATGGCTAGGCCGCATAGCGGTGATCAAAATGAACATATTACCCAGAATATTATACCTATTCCACACGATCCCCCTATCGATACCGACAGCATTCTTCGCCTCCTTGAAAGCTACATTCCTGACCTACATTTGGAATGGACACAGACAACGACTGCGATACGAACTCCTCTGCCAGACCAGAAGAAACGGAGGATTGGCACTCCCAGACATACAGAAATACCATCATGCAACAGCCCTACAGAGAATCCTAGAATGGCACACTAACCCACGACACAAACAATGGGTGGCCCTAGACAGAACCTCACCCGACGGCCCATCCATCTTCGCCTCAGTATGGAATACAAACACGACAACGCAAGACGAACTAAACAAACTCTCCCCAACAAGACAAACTCTTCAGACATGGTCGATAATATGGAAAATAGCAACCATCTCCCCCACACCTAGCCCAATGACCACACTGACAGACAACCAACTAATATGGGGAGGTCTACCGGCAAGCGCTTGGAACTTTCTTGGGGGAGAAGACTTCATCCCCCTCAACAAAACACTGACCGCCACCGGATTGATACCTCTAGAACAAATGATAGAGGGCACACCGACCCCCATGCACAGATACCGATATACACAAATGACACATTTCTACCATACGCTACCGAAAAGAGCCATAGTACATAGAACCCTCACGTGATTCGAAGAGCTTTGCAACAAAAAACGACTATCCAGAAGCCAACCTCAACCCTATACCAACACCTGATAACGAACAACCAAAACACAGCACTGCCATACAAAAGAAAATGGGAACACCTCACAGACAGGACATTCAAAGACACACAGTGGGACAAAATTCTAATCCTCCACCACAAATCCTCAATCAGCTCATCATATCAAGAAATGAATTACAAATTACTAATGTTCTGGTACAGAACCCCGGACCTCCAAGAGACGGACGTGGGCACAGTGAAACACATCTGGTGGGAATGTATCAAAATCAAACCATACTGGAACCAGATTATAGCCCGCATCAATGACATCCTAGGGGATACGATGCAGCTGTCCATGGAAAATGTACACACAAGACCCGATCTCAAAATACAAAAGATCTATTCTACGCCACCTCCTTGACGCAGCCACTCTATGGAAACGAACCCAAACTCCCACGATGGAACAATGGCTAACCAGAGTGGAAGAAATCAGAGCTGCGGAAGAAATGTACGTGACCCTGACGGACACTCTCTCAAAACACGTAGACAAATGGCAACCCTGGATAATATACGTAGCAAGACAGGACCAGAGGGGCACGGTCGGCGGGGATGGAGACTAGGGGGATAGATTTACCCTCCTAACACCTTACCTACCTAGCACACTCACTCCTTCCCCACCCTACCTCAGCACACTCAACCACATACGCAACACCATACTCCAACCTTAACAAACAACTAAATCACACATACTTAAAACATTTTAAAACACACACAACCAGTGGCGTCGCTAGGGGGGGGCCAGAGGGGGCCATGGCCCCCCCTACATCATGCTGTGCCCCCCCTTGGGCCCCCCCAAATGCTGGCAACTAGCTGGCCATCTGCTTCCCTCGGACTGTGACAGCCCGAGGGAATGCAGTGCTGAGGTGCTGGAGTCCCGCCTCCCGCCGATAAGCCCCGCCCCCGCCGTTATGCAGCCGCCCATGCTGCTGCTGAAGATGGCTGCCTGACCCCCACAGGTGACAGGTAGGCTGGGGGTGGGGGTGTACACACACATTGCCCCCATACACACACACTGCCCCCATACAGCCTCCCATACACACACACTGTCCCCCATACTGCCCCCCCATAGACACACATTGCCCCCCATACTGCCCCCCCATAAACACACATTGACCCCCATACAGCCTCCCATACACACA